GGTGTGCTCAGAAGTGTTGTAAGCATACTCAGCTGAGGCTAGCCATCTGGATCAGTCTCATGGCCTATCACCTGAAAAACACCTTAAGTAAGCCTCTAGTGCCTTGTTCATCACCTCAGTTTGGTCGTCTGTTTGTGGATGATAAGCTGAACTGAGGAGGAGTTTTGTGCCATTGAGCCTGAATAATTCCTTCCAGAATTGGCTAATAAATATTGGATCCCTGTCACTCACAATAGTTAGAGGAAAACCATGTAATTTAAAAATGTTATCCAGAAAAATCCTAGCCACCGTAGTTGCTGTATATGGGTGTGAGAGTGATATGAAATGAGCATATTTACTCAATCTGTCTATCACCACCATGATCACTGTACGTCCTCCTAAGGGTAGTAAACCCTCAATGAAATCCATGCTGATGTCCTGCCAATTGTTGGTGGGTACTGGTAAGGGTTGCAGCAGACTAGCTGGATGAATGCTTTCCACTTTGTTCTTTTGGCAAGTATCATAAGATCTGATGAAGACTCGTACATCTCTCCTCATGCCAGGCCAGTAAAACTCTTTTTTTTTTATTTTTTATTCAAGCATATGTTTTATATACCCGTGTGTGACCCCTTAATGGACTGTTGTGGAACTGTTGTAGGATCTCATGATGGTGGGAATGGCACCAAACTTCCCAAATGTAACTTGCCCTTATAAAAGACTAGGTCATTGAGGACTTGGTACTGAGTTTGGTCCAAGATTCTCTGATGGTAGTTGCTGAAAAGCTCTAGCAACTAGGGATCTTGGAGGTAAGTCTTCTTCAACTCCTCTATCCATTTGGTATGTATGATACTGATTGCTTGAATTTGTGGCTTTGGTTTGTGGTTTTGGTGGAGTATGTGTGGTTGGGGTACGACTTGTTTGATGATTGGTTGGCTATTTGGTGTTGGGATTGTTGTTTGAGTGGTTTTGGGGTGGTTTGGTGTATTTTCTAGGTAATCTTTAGGGTTTGGTTTTTTAGTTTGGGGAATTCTTGACAAGGCATCAGCAACTTTGTTGGTTTTCCCACTTTTGTATTCCACCAAGAAATCATAACCTAACAACTTGGAAATCCACTTTTGTTGAGTACGGGTCCCAACTCTTTGCTCTAGTAAATACTTTAAAGCTTATTGGTCAGTCCTCACATTGAAGTATTGCCCCACCAAATAGTGTCTCCATTTTCTAATAGCCATCACCAATGCTAGCAACTCCTTTTTGTATGTAGACAGCATGAGATTCCTCCCCTTTAATGCTTGGCTTAGATAGGCAATAAGACCACCTTTTTGCATTAGCACCGCTCCCAAGCCTTCACCTGAAGCATCACACTCTACTACAAAAGTTTTAGTGAAATCTGGTAGTTTAAGGACAGGGGGACTAACCATTGCTTGTTTCAACCTATCAAAGGTTGTTTGGGCTCTTTCTGTCCACACAAATGCATTCTTTTTTAGGAGGGCAGTAAGTGGTGCTGCAATGGCACCATATCCTTGTACAAACTTCCTGTAATATCCTGTGAGTCCCAAAAAACCTATCAAAGTCTTCAAGTTTCCGGGTAGTGGCCAATTTTGCATGGCTGAAATCTTCTAGGCATCGGCTTTCACTCCATCCCTAGAGATCAAGTGTCCCAAATACTCCATTTCATAACTGCTGAACACACACTTGCTCTCTTTTGCAAACAACTTATGAGCCTTCAAAATTTCCAGCACCATGCTTATGTATTGTAGACGTTCCTCTATAAACTTACTATAAATCAAAATATCATCAAAAAACACCAAAACAAACTTCCTTAAATAAGGCTTAAAAATGTCATTCATCAACCCCTGAAAAGTTGAGGGAGCATTGGTAAGCCCAAAAGGCATAACCAAAAACTCGTAGTGACCCTCATGGGTCCTAAAGGCGGTTTTATGCACATCCTCTTCATGCATTCTGATTTGATGATAACCAAAGCGCAAATCTAATTTAGAAAAAACTTCAGCACCATATAATTCATCCAATAATTCATCAATGTTAGGAATAGGATACTTATCTTTTATCGTGTCTTTATTAAGGGCACAGTAATCGACACACATCCTCCAGCTCCCATTAGCTTTCCTAACCAGCAGCACAAGGGATGAGTAGGGGCTTTGGCTTCCTCTTATGACTCCACTGTTCAGCATCTCAGCCACCAAACGCTCTATTTCTATTTTCTGGTAATAAGGGTACCTGTAGGGTCGAACATATGTGGGTTTAGAGCCTTCCTTGAGTTCAATTTTGTGGTCATGGCTTCGTGGAGGGGGCAGGCCATGTGGTTCATCAAAGACATCGTGGAATTCCATTATTATTTTTAGCACTGCTGGGTGCACCACTCTCTTGCCCTTGTCTTCTTTTCCTCCAATGAGTTGCAGCCATAGTCCTTTTACCAATCCCTTACGGAGCTTTGGATCATGTTCCTTCTCTTCTAGGGTCTCCTTTGGAGGTTGTATTCTTGAACTGGACCTCACTACCTTTGAAATTGAATTTCATGGTTAAATCTGAAAAATTCCACACAATAGATCCGAGACCTCTTAACCAATCCACTTCTAAGACCACATCACATCCTCCCAAAGTTAACACATAGAGATTAGCAATAACCTTAGCATTTTGTAAATTAATTGCCACTGCCCAACAGTAACTGTGCAAGGAATGCTATCCCCATTAGCTACCTTAACTGTCAGATGGCTTTTTCCCACTGGCAGTTTTGCTCTCCTTGCTACATATGGATCCACAAAACTATGTGTACTTCTTGTGTCAATAAGAATCAAAACTTTCTGATTGTTAATAAACCCTTCAATCCTCATAGTTTTTGGAGCTAATAAACTTGCCATGGCATGCAAAGAAATGCTTAATAGTTCCCTTAACTCTTCTCCCTCCCTAGTGGGTTCCTCAGATTGGATTAGAGCTAGCTTCCCTTCACTTGACTCAACTTCCTTTTCAACAGCTTCTTCCAATCCCTCCAACAGAAAAATTCTTGGCTTGCTACGTTTGTGTCCCAAGTGGAACTTCTCATCACAATTAAAGCATAATCCCTTTTCCCTTTTCTCTTGCATTTGGGCTTGGTTTAGTCTTTTTAATGGGAAATGAGGTTTTTCTGTTTTGGGTTAAGGCATTGGAGGGATTTCTGGGTTTAGGTTTTGGCTATGGGGGAGTTATTCTTTGTAGGGGAATTGGTGTAAGGATTTTAGGGTTGTAAGTTGGCTTTGGTAGGGCTAGATGATAAGTTTACCCGAGGTCCCCATATGTCTCCTTGTCACCTCTTCTTCTTGCAATTTTGCTAAACCAAAGGCAGCTAAAAGTGTATTAGGTTTGAACATAGTTACCATAATTTTCAATTCATCATTTAGGCCACTAATGAAGGTAGAAATTCTGAATTCTTTTGTGAGTCCCTTAATTTTGTTAGATAAAACTTCAAATTCGGTTTGGTACTCTTCAACAGTGGATCCTTGCCTCAATTTAGTGAAAGCCCCTATGGGATCCTCATATGTAGAGGGTCCAAATTGTATCTTGAGGGCTTTGGTGAAATCCTCCCAACTCCCAATAGGACCCGAGTCTTTTAACCAACCAAACGAAGATAAAGCCTTTCCTTCTATATGGAAGAAGACAATATCTAATTTTTGCTCATTAGGAGTGTGGAAATAATCAAAAAATTGTTCAGCCTTAAGGATCCAAACCATGGGTTCCGACCAATCAAATTTTGGAAAATCCAGCCTAAGAGTTCTAGCTTGCATTCCCCCATTTCCTTCAAACAATGGGTTAGGAATAAACTGACCTTTAGTGTTGGATGACCCTTCTCCTCCATTTCCTCCATCTTGGCTGTTTTTGTGTGTCGCTAACTGATCATAACTGGTTGCCAGGTTGCTGAGTTGTTGCAACGCGGCTTCTAGCATGAGTTTTTGCTTGTTTTGTTCTTCCCGCAGGTGAACAATTTCTTCCTCGAGTATGGATACAGCATCAGACAGGAGAGCTTGACGTGTACCTTCAGCCATGGCGTAGGACCTGGGCTCTGATACCACTGTTATGGTGGCTGCCAATTTAGTATTTAATTTTAGTAGGCACTTCGAGGGGCTTGGACCTCCAACTTTGTACTCACAATTTTGTAGGCAAATGAATTGAATTCATTGATGTAAACAGCGGAATAAATAAGCACGGACATTAGACTTGGGGGTGTTTGTCTGAGCTTATGAAAATTAGCTTATAAGCAACAATTGCTTATAAGCTAAAATTAATTTATAAGCATTTGAAATTTTAAGCAATTACGTGTTTGGTTAAAGTACTTATAAGTGACTGATAAGTAATTGATGTGTTTGGTAAAATATGGCTTATATATACATTTTATTATAAAATTACTAAAAAACGTACTACATTAAACAATGTCATACTATGAAATTTTAAAATTAAATAAGGATAATATGGTAATATACTTGGTCAAACTAGCTTATAAGCAAAGTGCTTATAAGCCTAAAAAAAAAAGTACCTCCCCTCCAACTTATTTTTTTTAGCTTATAAGCTCAAAAAAATTATAAACAAACAGGTCAGCTTAATTTTAGAGCTTATAAGCAAGTTTGACCAGCTTATAAGCTTAGACAAACACCCCCTTGGTCAAAAGACTACTAACAGACTGACCCACAACATATACTACTTAACTGACCATTATCCGACTAAGAATAATAACAAACCACTAACATAAGACTCGGCCATATGGCGTAACATGTATTGAATAAGAGAAGTGTTAGTCTTACAAAGACAAATACAGAGGGGGCATACAAAGACAATTGCTACCCTTGATCTTCATGATTTCTCTCTCTCTCTTTCTCTCTTTTTCTCTTCTTTCTTTATTTTTTTCTTCTCGCCCACGTCACTTTGTAACCCTCTTTGTATAGGTCTTTGTAAGGATAACATTTTTCATTGAATAAATAAACTAACTACTAACAAGCAGACCCAATGCCTGAGAAAAATAAAGCCCATGAGCAACTAAGCCTATTAGCATGACCCGACCCACTTAAGCTTCGAAACAAGACACCTAATAACTAGGGTTTCATAACAGTTTATGGTTATTGCAGACCTTTTTGCTTTCATCGCTTCTGCTTTGAATTGATCCGTAGTCATGGCTACTAGTAAGTTTGTTTGTTTTTTTTTTTTTTTTGTTGCTTATATAAATTATTAATCTTTTCCCATTTTTAAGCTGTAAATATAACATCTTTGGTTGGTTTGTATCATTGTATGTATAGGACTTATGTTTGAGAACTCTTGTGACGTTGGTGTATTTTCCAAGGTCACTAACGCTTATTGTTTGGTCGCAATTGGAGGTTCTGAAAGCTTCTACAGGTTTTTTTTTTTCCCATTATTATTCTTCTTTTTAAATTATTTCTCTGGTTATGAAATTTTATTGAGTCTTATGTGTGAACAGCACATTCGAGACTGAGTTAGCAGATGTTATTCCTGTGGTCAAAACATCCATTGGCGGCACTAGAATTATTGGGCGGCTTTGTGCTGGTAAGTTTTTTTCCATATGGAATATGTGGGATGGTTGCATGACTTGGAAATCACTGTGGGTGAGATACAGTTTTCATACATTATGACTTTCTTATTGTCTCTATTTTGGTTTTATTTGTAGGAAATAAAAAGGGGCTTCTATTGCCGCACACTACCACTGATCAAGGTGATTATTCTTTTGACTTCCTTTCATGAGTAGTTTTCTTAAGGTTTTTATCCTTATGAGAAAGTTATAAGCCTCTTGTGAAGTTGTTGGCTTTCTTATTTGATTAAATGTTATTATGAAAATATCATAATTTTTTTTAAGGCCATTAGAATTTGTGCATGCAAGGTATGTTATTAATCAGTCACTTGGGCAGCTGATTGTTTATGATTGGCTTTTATTTAGGCAAAACATTCTTCGCCCAAAAGCTTTTGCAATATACCATTATGGGCTGCTATAGAAGATTCAAAAACTCTAAATACTAGTTCAATGCAAAGCATGAATGCCTAAATTGAATGAGAGCTAAAGCTTAGTGCTTCTTCCTCATTCACTTGTTATCTTCTTTGGAATTTTGATATTCTATATTTATTCACAACATGACATTATGTAATGAAATAAATAAATATAAGTGAAATTAAACTAGATAAAGTAGGAGAAAGGCACAAAGCTTTTCTGTTCATTTGGATGTTCAGTTTTTCATGTACAAGGCCATAATATGTATAGAGTCAAGTCGCCTATTTGATCAAATAATGTGTTGCCAACTTGATATGGCACTTTTTATTTTATCAATTCATATTTCTCAACATGACATGAAGTTGATTTTGCTTTGCCTCTTGACTTGCCAAAGATGAGTGTTATGATGTGGTGGATTTTTAAACAACTGGGAAGCACATATTATTGTCAATCTGTATTCAAATGGTGGACATGTGAATAGGGGTATCTTTATGAGTACCTTAACTCTATCATAGGAGTTTGTAATTTGTTACATGTTATTTAAAGAGGTGGAAATCAGAGGGAAAATGTTATATACTTGTAGATCTTTCACCAATTGACATGTTAAAGCAATTAGATTTGGCCAATAGAAAATTCAAGGGAGAGTATGCGTTTTACCATTGAACATCCACGTCAATATATGCAGTCAATTGCTTTAATTATTATTCTACAAGCGTCAATGCAGAATTTCTGATACGTACATAATAAACTCATGTTATTTTGCCCTTTAACTAATGGGCTTCTCATATTTATCAAACTATTTATTGTTGTTGTAGAGCTTCAACACTTAAGAAACAGTCTACCCGACCAAGTTGTTGTTCAGCGTATTGAAGAGAGGCTATCTGCCCTCGGGAATTGCATAGCTTGCAATGACCATGTTGCCCTTTCACACACTGATCTTGACAAGGTAATGTTGTCTTATATTTTTTAGTTTTAATGTTTTCTCTATTCATTTTTTTAGAAAATGCTCTTTGGATTTGCATTTGATTTGGAAAAAGAAACCTCATTGTCTCTCATGAGATTTTGAGCTGTTTTTCTTTTGTCCTCTTCTCCCCTGCTATCTTCCCCCTCAAAAAGTACCACGACTTTCATTTTCTACTGTCTTAGGGAAAAAGGATCACAATTACAGTGTTCAGGTGCCAAGAAAGAACTGGAATAAGAATAGAACTATTAGCTTGTAAATTCTAAATTTGATCACCTAATCTCTTGGTGAATATCCTTGTAGATATGATTTTATCAACTTGAGAATAGAATTAAAATGCATGAAAATGAGGGCATTATAAAGTTCACTGAAGAAGCCTGTACTGAAACTTTTATTGGGGATCGTGTAGTTATCGATTTAAGTTGGACAAAATGGCTTGTTGAAAATTCCATTTCCTTATAATAGATATTGGAATGGCGTTGGAAAAACAACTTATTGCTTCTATTGACAAATCCTCATAACTGTTAGGTCCCATGCGAAGTTGGATGGTAGGGAGAAGAAGAAATTTAGTTGCCAATGAAGTTGGCTTTCTTGTTTGAGAAGTTTAAAAATTTCCGCTTCTATATTTGTGTGCAGCTAAAGGTGATTAAAGCTTTATGAAGCTCTTTTATGGTTGTTGACAACATTTTTTGTTCTTTCTGCAATTGCGTTAATGCATTGTTTGTTTTCAACAGGAAACTGAGGAAATGATTGCAGATGTTCTTGGAGTAGAAGTGTTCAGGCAGACAATTGCTGGTAACATCCTTGTGGGTAGTTACTGTACCTTCTCTAATAGAGGTGGCTTGGTAAGAAGTAAAATACATTTTATACGTAGGCATCTAGCAAAACGCATTTTATCTTTGTCTTTCCAGCAAAGTAACTTTCTGCTATTCCTGGAGTAGGTTCACCCACATACATCCATCGAAGACTTAGATGAACTTTCAACACTCCTTCAAGTACCTTTGGTGGCTGGGACAGTGAACCGTGGAAGTGAAGTGATCGCTGCTGGGTTGACTGTTAATGACTGGACAGCATTCTGTGGGTCAGACACCACAGCAACTGAACTCTCAGTTATTGAGAGTGTTTTCAAGTTGAGGGAAGCTCAACCTAGTGCCATTGTGGACGAGATGAGGAAATCATTAATTGACACCTATGTCTAAGACTCTTATACTTTCATCACAGTCTTGTCCGAGTCTTTATTTGTTTTTATAAAGTTGAATGAGTTAAAGACTTTATTTATTTGATAATATCTCTTTTATGCAAGAATGTTGTATATCTTTAAGAAGCATCTAATTTTGGGCTGTCACCATGAGGAGATGTATATTTTCCCTTTGTTATGCCTGTTATACTTTGTTTTGTTGTGTAACTTGTGTTGGTTGAAAGTTGTAATTTCTTCAGTGGCACTGGACAAGTTAAAATTCTCATGGAGTCCATGTTTAGTGGGAGTTTGTAACTTATTAGTAATGATTGAACAAAGCCAAAAGATCAAGCAGTCAAGAACACCTGTCGTCGAAAAGAGAATTTTTACATATTTTCTGAAATTCACAACCAATGAAGTATAGCTGGAGAATACTGTTGAACTTTCTGTGATACATGGAACTCATTTTCAGACGATACATAGAACAATAACAGGTTAACATCAGTAACACTTAGAAGTCTTTAGGATCAAATTCTGCTCTCATTGAGACTGAAGGTAATTTGTTTAAACTCATAAAAATAAAGCATATGTATGGCAGACAAGTATCACAAGTTACCAGCAACAGCAAGAGCCAGGACAAAGTGAGGTAATTCACTAATCCTACAACCATTGCTAACAAAATTTTTACAACCTAACGTTGATGGTAGGCATCAAATAGGGGTACCATCACAATGTTCCGATGAACACAACTATAACTTTTTTAAGCAGAAAACGTTCTGTTTTAGTTAGTAATAGTGGTATACTATCAGCAGTTTCATGAGCTCAGGCTGTTCTATCTACTTTCTCTTTAGCAGTGACTTCTCCACTTGTTGGTCTGCAATGGTTAAATGCCAAATTTATGTTACAACACGGCAAGAAACAAAGACCAAGATTATAAGATTAAACCCTGTTTTAGTATAAGATTAAACTCTGTTGCAGAAATTCAAAAAGGGCTAAACAATTACTCTACATGAAAATGAGACCATTACTTTAGCATAGTTTTTGCATTGCATTACTAACTTGATTTATAGCCACACTTCATCAGTAATTTCTGCCTTAAGATGCAAACAAGTCTACACTAGCTTGATTAGAATTTTAATGATGCATGACAATATCCCTAACTTTGTACCCAAAAGGAAGATTGCAAAAATTTCACTTGTATTATTAGCTCTAAAAAGTAAGACCGATTCCTTCCATCAGAGAAATCGCCCTTGCTACCCAAAATAGTTTCTCCAATTCACCTATCCTGCTTGAAGCAAGGATATCTTATTTCGCAGGGTATTCATGCCATAAACTATCAAAACTCAGAACAGTTAACTATTTAAAAAAATGACCTTACTGGCGCATTTTTTACTTTATAAAAGAGAGCCAGGAAAACAAAAGAAGATGACTATTTTGACGGCAGAGTTTCTCAATGATAGGAGAGTAAAAACTAGCCGAAATACACACTTACAATCCACTTAGAACTTTAATAGTGTCATAGAAAAACCATTGTAAAGTCACCACTGGTCCCACGAGCATTATCCGAATAGGAAGGCTTCTTGTAAACAAATTGATGAACCCAATTTTTTTGATAGCCTATCCATTAGAAAGAGCAATTTAAATCTAAATTGTTGTCACTTTGCATGAGAGGGGTATCACAAAATATTAAAGTAATCAAGAGGCAATACCAGCATGAGGCTATCAGCCTTTTTGTTATAAAGAGAAGAAACAATGTTGTCAGCAGGGTTAGAAATAAAGCTACCAACAGCTCCAGCAGCGTAGCCAGCTAAACATGTCACACCGAGTTGTTGAGTTTTTGAGCATTCTGCCTTTGTTTTTCGAATGACATTACCATGAAAAAAGGATCACAATTACAGTGTTCAGGTGCCAAGAAAGAACTGGAATAAGAATAGAACTATTACCTTGTAAATTCTAAATTTGATCACCTAATCTCTTGGTGAATATCCTTGTAGATATGATTTTATCAACTTGAAAATATAATTAAAATGCATGAAAATGAGGGCATTATAAAGTCCACTGAAGAAGCCTGTACTGAAACTTTTATTGGGGATGGTGTAGTTATCGATTTAAGTTGGACAAAATGGCTTGTTGAAAATTCCATTTCCTTATAATAGATATTGGAATGGCGTTGGAAAAACAACTTATTGCTTCTATTGACAAATCCTCATAACTGTTAGGTCCCATGCGAAGTTGGATGGTAGGGAGAAGAAGAAATTTAGTTGCCAATGAAGTTGGCTTTCTTGTTTGAGAAGTTTAAAAATTTCCGCTTCTATATTTGTGTGCAGCTAAAGGTGATTAAAGCTTTATGAAGCTCTTTTATGGTTGTTGACAACATTTTTTGTTCTTTCTGCAATTGCGTTAATGCATTGTTTGTTTTCAACAGGAAACTGAGGAAATGATTGCAGATGTTCTTGGAGTAGAAGTGTTCAGGCAGACAATTGCTGGTAACATCCTTGTGGGTAGTTACTGTACCTTCTCTAATAGAGGTGGCTTGGTAAGAAGTAAAATACATTTTATACGTAGGCATCTAGCAAAACGCATTTTATCTTTGTCTTTCCAGCAAAGTAACTTTCTGCTATTCCTGGAGTAGGTTCACCCACATACATCCATCGAAGACTTAGATGAACTTTCAACACTCCTTCAAGTACCTTTGGTGGCTGGGACAGTGAACCGTGGAAGTGAAGTGATCGCTGCTGGGTTGACTGTTAATGACTGGACAGCATTCTGTGGGTCAGACACCACAGCAACTGAACTCTCAGTTATTGAGAGTGTTTTCAAGTTGAGGGAAGCTCAACCTAGTGCCATTGTGGACGAGATGAGGAAATCATTAATTGACACCTATGTCTAAGACTCTTATACTTTCATCACAGTCTTGTCCGAGTCTTTATTTGTTTTTATAAAGTTGAATGAGTTAAAGACTTTATTTATTTGATAATATCTCTTTTATGCAAGAATGTTGTATATCTTTAAGAAGCATCTAATTTTGGGCTGTCACCATGAGGAGATGTATATTTTCCCTTTGTTATGCCTGTTATACTTTGTTTTGTTGTGTAACTTGTGTTGGTTGAAAGTTGTAATTTCTTCAGTGGCACTGGACAAGTTAAAATTCTCATGGAGTCCATGTTTAGTGGGAGTTTGTAACTTATTAGTAATGATTGAACAAAGCCAAAAGATCAAGCAGTCAAGAACACCTGTCGTCGAAAAGAGAATTTTTACATATTTTCTGAAATTCACAACCAATGAAGTATAGCTGGAGAATACTGTTGAACTTTCTGTGATACATGGAACTCATTTTCAGACGATACATAGAACAATAACAGGTTAACATCAGTAACACTTAGAAGTCTTTAGGATCAAATTCTGCTCTCATTGAGACTGAAGGTAATTTGTTTAAACTCATAAAAATAAAGCATATGTATGGCAGACAAGTATCACAAGTTACCAGCAACAGCAAGAGCCAGGACAAAGTGAGGTAATTCACTAATCCTACAACCATTGCTAACAAAATTTTTACAACCTAACGTTGATGGTAGGCATCAAATAGGGGTACCATCACAATGTTCCGATGAACACAACTATAACTTTTTTAAGCAGAAAACGTTCTGTTTTAGTTAGTAATAGTGGTATACTATCAGCAGTTTCATGAGCTCAGGCTGTTCTATCTACTTTCTCTTTAGCAGTGACTTCTCCACTTGTTGGTCTGCAATGGTTAAATGCCAAATTTATGTTACAACACGGCAAGAAACAAAGACCAAGATTATAAGATTAAACCCTGTTTTAGTATAAGATTAAACTCTGTTGCAGAAATTCAAAAAGGGCTAAACAATTACTCTACATGAAAATGAGACCATTACTTTAGCATAGTTTTTGCATTGCATTACTAACTTGATTTATAGCCACACTTCATCAGTAATTTCTGCCTTAAGATGCAAACAAGTCTACACTAGCTTGATTAGAATTTTAATGATGCATGACAATATCCCTAACTTTGTACCCAAAAGGAAGATTGCAAAAATTTCACTTGTATTATTAGCTCTAAAAAGTAAGACCGATTCCTTCCATCAGAGAAATCAACCTTGCTACCCAAAATAGTTTCTCCAATTCACCTATCCTTCTTGAAGCAAGGATATCTTATTTCGCAGGGTATTCATGCCATAAACTATCAAAGCTCAGAACAGTTAACTATTTAAAAAAATGACCTTACTGGCGCATTTTTTACTTTATAAAAGAGAGCCAGGAAAACAAAAGAAGATGACGATTTTGACAGCAGAGTTTCTCAATGATAGGAGAGTAAAAGCTAGCAGAAATACACACTTACAATCCACTTAGAACTTTAATAGTGTCATAGAAAAACCATTGCAAAGTCACCACTGGTCCCACGAGCATTATCCGAATAGGAAGGCTTCTTGTAAACAAATTGATGAACCCAATTTTTTTGATAGCCTATCCATTAGAAAGAGCAATTTAAATCTAATTTGTTGTCACTATGCATGAGAGGGGTATCACAAAATATTGAAGTAATCAAGAGGCAATACCAGCAAGAGGCTATCAGCCTTTTTGTTATAAAGAGAAGAAACAATGTTGTCAGCAGGATTAGAAATAAAGCTACCAACAGCTCCAGCAGCGTAGCCAGCTAAACATGTCACACCGAGTTGTTGAGTTTTTGAGCATTCTGCCTTTGTTTTTCGAATGACATTACCATATAGAAAGTCGACAGAATGCTCAAATGTCGAGAACATAACCATAGAGACTGCAGCAAAAAATTTGAAGTTAATGTGATACTTATGTTGAAAGGCACTACAGAGTAGTATACATTTTAACAATGCCTGACAAAGATAGTTGGAATCCTGCATCACTGAAACAATATATATGCTTAATAATCAGGCATATGGCTAACATATGATTCCAAAGGTGCGATTTAAGAGAGTGGGTAGCTGCAAATCTACATGTTTCCATGAGGATCCTGCAATTCAGAGCTCAATAGAAATTATATTGGGCCAGAATGCTCGTCAAAACACATAGTAAGGGAAAAATGTTCACGTATCATTCAATATTTAGCACATATAGCTCAATTCTTGTTAAAAGATGATATTCTTAATTCTACAACAGATGCTTTATTGGGGATGCCAGGGTTGCCAAATACCAAGTAATTGATAAAATAACTCCACACCTCAATCAAGGATGGGTGGGTTGATAACTGTAGATAACCAATTAAATATAGAAATTTAAAGATGAAGGAAACCGGAGTAATTACATGGAAGGTTTCGGCCCCAAAGAGGAACTAGCCACCTATAAAAACTGCAACAAAGAGCAACAGTAAACTGTAAGACCTCTCAACGGAAGAAACAGTTATTCAACTTGTGGATCACTAACCCAAAGATCCCTTCTGACGCATAAAGCTTAGGAAAGCCATCAGCCAAGCCCTTTGCAAAATGGGGCTGTGCTTGAACCCGGACTTTAATGGCTTCAAATGGACAGAGAGCAAGATTGGCAAACACTTCAGCAGATGCACTACTAACAAAGAAAACGAAACTCCTATTGCAATCCCCCAAAATATTAGAATAAAGAGTCTTGAAATATTCATATAACCCAAATCTACAACCAACTTGAACACCATAACCAAAGAACTTGCCAGCCCAACCTCTCCAAAAGGCCGAAGGACCTTGCTCTTTCAACAATGTAGTGAAACAGGAAGCAATACTGTTATATTTGACGGGATGCACCTACAGAAAAAGCAGGGATCTTTATATCATAACAGAATGTAAAAAGTACATTATAAATAAAAAGAAAAAGGAAAAGAAGGGAAGAAGAAAGGTACCTGCATATTGACTTTTAGGACATCAAGAGGAGTGAAAGCGAGATGGGTGGTACCAGAACTGAGCATTCCTCCAATGGCGCAAACCCCATAATAACCTTTCTCTTTCTTTCTTCCTTCCACCATCTCTCCCTCTCTTCTCTGCTTTTCACTTCACTCAAGTCTCAAGCATAAGCATTCTTGTTTTTGTAGAAAATGGATCTTTTATGTTTTCTTCTACAAAACCCCAAAACCCCGGACAGGCTGCCGCAGCTAAAGACAACCAACACACGCTATTAACATTTGGGGTTTTTCTGTTATTTCTTAAACTTCAGGGTTTTCTTTTGTTAAAACCAAAGCAATTCCACATTTCAGTATTGACAAGCCACATGTGTAATATTAAAATTTACATCAAATTATAATTATTATTTAAAAAAAAAAAAATTGAATTTATAACATGAAATGTCAAATTCATTACCTAATAAAAATCCCAATTGGTACCAAAATCCAAGCGCAAATTTGTAAAATTTCTTAATTAAATACCTTCAAATCTTTATTGATAGTAGACACTAAACACTTGGTTGGATTTCTTGGCGTTGTTCAACAGATTTTAATACGAAATCTTGCCTCACACTACCATTTTGGGGTGGTTTAATTTATATTATAGTAACTTACACATTTTAGGTAGTTTTGTTTTCAAATACTTGGGAAATTGAGATAAAATATTGTAGGAAGTGTAGAGTTGGTGATGAAATGATGAAGAAGAAGTCCATACTTTGGTAAGCATATTGACAGAAAAAATTAATTGTTTGGCATTTCCAATTTTAGAGGAGTATTAATTGAGGTACAGCATGCCCTTTTCCATTTTTAGTGGTTGTTCATAAACTTGCTTTGTCTTCTCTTCATGAATACAGTTTGTTCAAATTAGTAGATTTACCTGCCTTTTCATTGTAGAAGATTATGGCTACTGGGTTTAAGCTGGATAGTTTAGATTCACATATAGTGTTTAAAAGTTGAGTTCTAATGTTGATTTGAGTTCAATAATTAGCACAACACAAATATTGACAACAGAGAATGAAGGACTTTGTTATTTAATATAAATCTAGAAAACATACAGACTGGAACTCAATAAAATAAAGGATAAAAATCAATCAAAGAGTCCGGGAAACTTATCCCAGTCCAGTAAGTCCTCTTCATCATCAACATCTTTGAAAATGGAAATGGGAGTAGTGTCAGCAGAATCATCAGTTTGTTCGACAGCAATAGTTTCAGCTTTGTGGGAGGAGGAATTAGCAGTGGTAGTAGTAGTTTCAATAATATTGTTGATGATGAGCTTGTGTTTGCGGAGGTTCATGTACTTTCCGATTGGACTCTTGATCCAATGTCTTCCACGCTTTTTAAACAATAATCCTCTCATGAATAACCTGAGAATATATATGCCATCCACAACCACAGCAATCAAATTATATATATATATATATATTAAATCATGCATCTACTAGCAATATTATTCAGAAATGAAGTTGATAAAAGGTGAGGTGTGACGGATGCATACTTATACTCCTCTGTCGTCCATGCTGCTCTCCTTTTCTGATTACAACAACTTGATGTCTTTCTCCCACAACCCTTCTTCTTCTTCTTCTTCCTCTTCTTCTTAGTCTTATTCTGCGAGACTTGATGAGCAGAACCATATACAGACAATGATATTTTACCAGCCTCATCAATCATCTCAACATTATCTTCAACACATGCTTCATTATGCTTTTTAAACTCTTCCGGCATTTTCATGGCCATGTTTTCAAATAAATTGAGATGATCACCTTCAGTACTCAGAGCATTCTCAAACAGCTGCTTGTTTTCTTCAGATGTCCACTCGTTGTGCTTTACTTCAAACGGTGGTAGTGATGGTGAGCAAAGCAAATGAGGATCTAAAGGAGTTTTACTATAAGAACTAGATAGGTTTGATGAAGTCTCCACTGGTGATATATCAATTGAAAATAGAGGAAGATTTATATAATATTGATCTCCTACAAAGAAAAGCACAAGTTCGTGGTTGCTCTGGCCTCATCTACTTCTTATATAGAAGTTTTATTCGACTTGCCAAAAATAGGTGCCTTGAGTAAATTGGTGTCTAACCTTAACAAAATTTCATGAGATATTCAAGAAAATTAATGCCTAAATGCTCACATATTAGAGTAAATAATTTCATTCAATCGGTTTACAGATACGCATGTCCTGTTGTTATCTCACTGTAATTGATACACATTCCATTGAAATAATCAGAAACTGTATGTCATAAATACATACTAATATGACATTCTCTTATTGACCGAATGCAAACACTTTTACAGGATGTCATAAAAATAAAACATACATTAAACGACTGTCTTATGCAAACATAGCAAATTATTAATTGAAAACAGCAGAGGAGATGGAACAGTATGTCATTCTTGAACTGCAAATTTATGGAGTTTAGACTTGTGATGAAGACGGATGAAATACTTTTGAGCATGGCTTGCAACTTGAGTAGGAGTTCTTGTCACTACACAGAACCTGGAGATGCTTCTCCAATCTCCTTTCCCATACTTTTCCAGACCCTCCAAGAACAACCTAATTGTAACAAAACAAAACAAGACACACATTAATATAAAAGACAGCAAGATTAATAAGTATATGTAAGCTAAGCTTTATCTGATGGTTTATAGTACTTGTGTTCTTCTGAGTTCCATGGAACTCCTCTTTTTCGTGGGTTTTGAATGGTCTTATTTTTGTCACAAGTCTTGTAGTTTGGTAATGGTATAGCACCGGACTCAATGAGTTGAAGATCTTGTATTAAAGTGATGAAGTGTTGCTTGATTTCTGAAAGAGTTTTTCCAGGAAGTTTCAAAGCCATGTGTTGGAATAGATGATCAAGGGATTGAAAATTGAGTTGAGCAATAGCAATCTCAAAAAGCTTGTCCTCCTCCTCACTCCACTTGGTAATTTTTTGTGGATGACCAAGGGATAGTGGTGGAGATAAGAAAAAAATTGATTGGAAAGTAGGGTCTGAGGCCTCCATTGTTAACTAAAGCTGTAGATTAGTGTAGATTTAAGAATACACATAGATATGAAATGGTTGAAGATTATGGAAGCTTTGTTCTACTTACCAAAATTGAAAGTTACAAATAAAGGCATTCAAATAATAAAAGATGCATGCACTCTTCATCTTTCTCTTTTGTCACTTATCATTGCCTCATCTCCATTAATTCTTATTACCTTCCTTAATAACTTCATCATCAATGGTTATTCTTAATCCTAAGCCATCAAATGAATTTATGTACATTACTATGTTGAGAAATCTTCAATAATTTTATGCAGATAAAATGTATGTACATTTTTCTGTCTTTCTTATTCAACCTTTTGTCCTATATATTGGTTTTTGTTACTTTGAGTTTTGAGCCCAAATTCAACTTAACTGGGCTTCGTAAGACTGAGCCCGTACCTGATTCATTTAATAAAACCAGAGTAAGATTTCGAGAGGAGAAAGCCCTCGCAAAGTCAAGAAATGGAAACGACAGATCGGACCACTCTCGAGACGAGACCCGGTATCTTGATTATTGGATCCTCCAACGTCGGAAAACGCACTCTTATCTCCCGTAATATTCTTTTTTTTTTTTCTTTTTAAATTGATTATTGATTCGATCGGTTCATAGTGACTAAACAATTGTAGCTTAATTATGTAGTGAATTGAATTGTTGTTGTCATTATTTATTATCTGCTTAATTGTAGGATTGCTTTCCATTGATCTTGAAGATGAATTTGATTCTTCTTCGTCTGAACTAGTTGTTCATGGGTATTTGTTCTCATTTTTTCAATTTGAACTATCATTTTGGAATTTTGACAAACATGTAGTATGCATTGTGTGTAATGGGTTTCTTGTCGCAGGTGGACTATCAACACCAAGTATTATACTGCTGATGTTTCAGTATGGATGGCTCATCTACACGAGGACTTTTCTATTGGCTCTCTTCCCATTTTCGACCAGTTGGCTGCATTGGTCATGGTTTTTGACCTCAATGATGTTAGCCTCTACCACCCAACTGATCATTATTAGTTTTTTTGATTGCGAATTCTTAGAGCTATCTGTGAGGTTGTTGTAATGTTAATATCCCTTTTTCTTGTACGGTTATGTGCAGCTATCAACTTTCGTCTCGCTTAAGGATTGGGTGTCTCGTATTGATCTTCAGAAGTTTGAAATACTGTTGTGCATTGGGAACAAAGTGGATCGTCTTCCAGGTCATCCGGTTCATGCTGAATACAGAAGGCGGTTGCTGAAGCGTGGAGAGTCTTCTGCTGATACTAGTCCAGATTTCAGTCAATATGGAATTTCTGAAACTGAAGGAAGTAGTTTGTTGGGGGATGAAGAACCATCATGGGAGATCAAGAGGTCGTGTTTGGAATGGTGCACGGAGCTGAACATTGAATATGTTGAAGCATGTGCTTCTAATGTTGATTTTGACAAATGTAAGACTCTCCTGTGCGTTGATTATGAATAATTTGTTTTTGGTGAATAAGAACTAGGATCAGTTAGTTTTCTACTATGGTTTTGAAACTAGGCAGCATATACACACATAAATGATAAAGAAAATTGTTCTTGACAGGTTTATCAGTTGATGGCGATTCACAAGGAGTTGAGCGTCTCTATGGTGCTCTTACTGCTCATATGTGGCCTGGAATGATTTTAAAATCTGGTGATAAGATATCTGAGCCATCATTACCTGAGAGAGAAGGTTTTATACACCAGTTCCATTCACTTTTAACTTAATTGTTAAATTACATTGCTTACTGTTCTCTTCCTCACTGCCCAGAGTTGTCTGAAGAAGAATCTGATTTTGAATTCGACTATGAAGTGCTATCTGCGGGTTCAGCTGAGCCGTGGGGTGACACAGATGAAGTGTGGGTTTCAGCCAATGGAACTAGCGAAGCCTCGAACACTGGGAGATCGGTTACTCTGAATAATTCTGTCACAGAACAAGACCAAGAGAATGTAACTAATCGTGATAATGCAGAGTTGCAACCCTCAACTTCAACGGGTGCATTGGTGGATGAGATTGACAATGAAGTGTTGCAAAATGCAGGAGATCCTGATTTAGCCTTGGAATTGGATAAGGGCACACATTTTGACTTTGAAGATTTGGAACAGCTGATGTCTGAGATAGGGAACATTCGTAACAACTTAAGGTTGATGCCTGATTTTCAAAGGAGGGAAATGGCTGCAACGCTTGCAATGAAAATGGCTACTATGTTTGGAGGCAGCAGTGATGAAGAAGAGGGCCGCGATTGATCAAATATGCTATTACTATGTGTGATATCCCCAAGTCTCGCTGTTGGGCTTCTTAAAGAGCTAATTTTGGGAAGATAAGTAACTATGACTTCAATATACAGAGTAAAATAGACGTGCTTCCACTTGTGGGAAATATTTAATGTCATGTTTGTTATCTGCTCCCTTTGTCATGAGAGATTAATGCCAATGACTGTTTGCATTCATTTTTTGCGGCACAAATCTTTGGCCAAACTCGAATTTCTGTTGACACTGAAAGTAGTAGGTTTGCTTATAATGTTAATGGTTGGTAAGAGGAAAACTTGTTAAATTTATCGGAAATTTTGATTTAATCCTGGAGGCAAGTGTATATGAATATTTTGATAATAGATTCTGCCTATAGTTCATCAAATTGCTTCTGATTTTTGAAATCCTTGAATATTTCATATCAATGCTTTACGTTTCCGCAAACACAAAGCTTTGTGGAACAAGTATTCCATTTTGATTTCTGAACTGAAGTTGTATTATTGTTCATTTAGTTAATTACAAATAAAGACGAAAGATTGATTTTCTGATGAGACCCACTCCTAACACGCTGGTCTATTGTAAGAGACTTAATGGTGTAAAGTAGGGGATTTTGGTGCAGTAGGCCGTAAGGTTCTTTGTGTATGAGGTGTTAAGGATGGTTTAGGGAGGGACAGATGGCATTAAGGGAGTGAATGATTGAAGAATTCTGTTATGAGGAATAGAATAAAAGGGGAGACAGTGGGATATGGGGGATACTCTGGAAAAATGTAAAGGAAAGGGAAAAGGGAGGTTGCTGGCCCTCAAAGTCCAGCATGTCTAGTCTATGTCCATTTTTGTTATCCTTTTATTGTTCTTTTGGTTGTGTTAATTTTCATTTTTGGTTGTTCTTGTCTGATACAGTTTTCGTATATATCAATATACTTATAATCTTTCTGGGTTTTGGCTGTGCCTTCTACTGTTTTGCTGGTTTTTACTATTTTGGTTTGCTGTGGAATTGTTTCTTGGTTCAGTTGTGTAAGAGGGTTCCATCATTTTCCTATAGCCAACCATAGAAGGTTGGATTCTAGCAGAAAAGTTTGACTATTGACAAACTCTCATCTAGTTGTAGTAGGCATCCGAGTGTGAAAGATATGGTTGTTTGTGGATGGTCAGAAGTGGAAAACTGGAAAAACAAGTGATGTCTAATTAGATAATAAACTAGAGTGAATGTATATGTGTCTTGAATATTTGAGATTCCCATATAATTTGTGTCCTTTAAATGATGTTTTGATTGAATAAGAAAAGGGTACATTTACTCCACGAGATATTTGTAACTCTTTTTTTTTTTTTTTTTTTTGTACACGTGTGTATGTATGTATGCATTTTGTGAAATCTGAAGTGAATTGAATTATCTACATCAAATACTGTAGTAAGTCTTTGTTTCTGGTATGTATGTATGTATGTATATGGTGCACCCTCAAAGCATTGAGTCATCTACATAAGGTCTTTGAGTAAGCTATAATCCAAGAAGAACAACTGCTTTATCCCATAAGTGTTCAGCAAGATTCATCAGATGGGTAAAGTTATGGCATCTACTTTTCTCATGCCTTTTTCAAAGTGGTCAGATAATCAAGATGTTAATCATTAAAGATTAAACAAATCACAATCCTGATGAATTAAGTCTTGGTTGTAGTTGATTTAGTAAAGGAAATTAAAATAAAGAGAAAAAAGAGTAAAAGGTAGAAAGAAGTTGAATAATTCGAAAGTTGACGGGAATAAAGTAATCTAAAATATAAGCACTTTATTATAATCATAATATCCTTACAGTTAACACTTGATCATACAAACTTTTATTCCTCTGATAAACTTATAGTCCTCTCAATGAAATCAAGTAGTCATTATGCATAAATTGATCCGAACAACTTTGATCAAAGAAAACAAAAGTTGTCAACATAACAACTCATTCTGTAACTAATCAGACTTTTAAGTAAATGCATGCAGATATGCATATGGATCTTAAAGATAACCTGTACATCTCCATACTCAATATTGATTAAGGCAAGAATACATTATCATTATTATTATTATTATTATTATTATTATTATTATTATCATCGTTAGCATTGGAAGCGCTATCTTCCTCGGCCTTCACTTGCGCCTCAGTAACAGAAGCTCCTCCTCCTCCACCACCACCAACACCAGCAGCAGCAGAAGAAGCGCCAGCGGCAGGGAACTGACCACAGTTCTTGCACCTGGCAACCACCAAAATCTGACGGCATGAAGGACAAGAGGAGTGTGAAGCCAGCCACTTGTCTATGCAAACAACATGGAAGCCATGGCCACACTGTGGCAACATCCTCATCTCATCTCCTTCAGCAAAATCACCTAAACAAATGGCACAGTCTGTGGAGGATAATGCTGCCAACTCTGTGGTTGTGGTGAAGGCGTACTTGGGGAGAGATTGTAGCACCTTCTTTTTAACCCCTTTGTTTGCTGCTGAGGAGGGACGGTTAGCGTTGCGGCGGCGACGCCAGGCACAGCGAGCTGCAGCTACCAGACCCACCACACATATCAAAGCACAAAGAAGAACAGCTAGAACCAACACAAAATCAGACTCTTCTAAAGTGACAGACTCAGGTGGTGGAGCTGAAGATGAAAAGGGTTTCTGGTGGGATAAAAGAACTCTTGAGAAACGAGTCATTGTTGGTAATAAGTTGATGATAAAATCTGAAAAGAGAGTAAAAGAAGAGTATGTATTTATAACAGAAGTGGGGTTTTGAATTATGAGTTGATCTCTCTGTTAATGGAGATAAAGGAGGAGACAAATCACAAGATAAGCAGATTGGTCTGCTTAATAAAAGTGTTAAGATGGGTAACACACGGATAGCTTTGGTAACAAGTGTTAGCAAATCAGCCATTGATGTGAAAGGAATATATATGATTTGTTTCTAATGTACAGTTAACCTTTTTTAATTTTTGATTTTTTTTTTTTTTTTAACCATGAAGATGAACTCATTTATTTAGGAGGTCGGAATTTGTGTCAAAACATGGTACAACGGACATGAAAATGACAAAAGGATACTTAATGAAATTTGTCTCAAAAGAAGACTACTAACAGACTTAGTAGGGGAGTGACAATCTGGAAGGCAGGTAGCCAGGCACTCTTCTGAAGTATTTACCAACTGGGTAATTTTACATGGGCATTGTCTGGCAAATAGGCCGGCACAAAACCCCCCCTCCCTCTTCTCCCTCTCTCTTTCTCTAACTCTCTTTTTGGAATTTACAAGATTTGACTACAACCACCATAGGATGTTAAGTGGTTAACTAAGACTTTTACATGTATTACTTAAAAGGTTACTTTGACCACTTTTACTCGCAACAAAATACCCAGACCTATCATCTAATACATTGTAACCCAAAGAAAAAATCATCTGAAATTTGACCATTGTTATTGGGTTCACATCAAATCTTCATCGTGGATTTGGCAAAGGTCAGGCCATATTGATTAAAAAAGGTATGGCAAGAGGGTATTACTTATTAGTGCAATCACAGTCCATTGATAAATGAGTTAATGTTTCCACTATGATATAAGGCACTAGAAAAAGTGAGAACATCAGATGAGCCTAGTCCGTATATCTTTGCAACCAAGGGAAACAAACAGATTTCCTAGGATAATGTTTTGCTAATTAAACTGAACTAGCAAAACTATTGGGTTTTGTGCAGTCTTAGATTTATATATATTCGTGTAAAACAAGGAAACATGTAATCATTATCATGAAACCACCGTAGTGTGGCGCTTCAAGCATCTTTTAAGTGCTCTAACCATTTCAAAGCTCAAAATAGCACAAGCGTTTTAGATCATCTTATAGTTGATTTTATCTCTTCTGGGTGCAGTCCACATATTGTAAATGATCTGACAGAAAGGATGTTACCTACCAATTTTGATAATGTTTATTTGTTAATTAATATTGAGTTTATCTTAATAATTTAAATAAATTAGATTAGGATATAGGTAAGTTTTATTTTATTTGAATAAGTCAGTCACGTATTTAGGATTCTTTAGTTGGGGTTGAACGTGTATTTTGGTTTGTTTAAATTGTTGATCGCGTTTTGCTATTTAGTAAGAAAGTATGGTTGTAAGCTCCCATATATTTCATATATTTCTATTGGAATGAAGATGATGATTATTTGCATAAAAGGTTATATTTGAACTCTGGAGGTTTTTAGCTCCCTCAATTGAGCAATAATTGCTTTATTTTCTATTTAATATCAAAATAGATCAAGGAAAGAAAACTTCTTCAAGCACCTCTGTAACAAGTGGTATCAAAGTTAGGGCATGGACCACCGAATTTAGAAACTTGAGCAATCGGTGAAAGCTTTAGTAGTGGATCAACAAAAGTTTATGAACAAAATCCAACTTTTGTTCAGCAAATTCATTGATAAGATTGATCAACTAATATGTCACTCTTTTGAGGAGAATAGAGAAGCCAAGTGCCCCATTCAGACCCTTGCAGTCTGATACGATTCAACAACTCAACAAACCCAACAACGAAATGAAACAGTTAAAAGAGAAAAATGTTAACAAAATATTCAAGAACAAAAAGTTGTATTCGAATGAATCAGACTGTGTATTACACTTTTGGAATTGCAAAAAATAACTTGGATAATAAGTTCACTGCATACTCAATATCAAAGACTCAAAAACACTCAAAATAGATTCAAAGAAAAAAATAAACACTGTTGAGCTTCGAGGGCCAACTTCCTCCCAAATTTCCTTGTCCTCTCTTTTGCCTTTCCCTGATGATCTGCTCCCTTTTTGTAATGCCCAGTATAACAGAATACTATACTGCTTCTCTCCCATATTGTTATCTGTCTAGTATTCCAATAACAGAATGTTGTACTGCTCCTCTCCTATATTGCCATTTGTCTTGTGCTGATTGTCCTCTGTCATGTTGCCATCTGTCCTGTACTGTTTTGCCAACCTAGCTTGTGATCCTCTGCTATGCTTCCCTTGCCTATTGTAGACCTGTATTGCATGTGATCTATCACAGTCATTGTTAAAAATTGCCTATTGTCAACACAAAATCTCCATCCAACATCTTTCTTCTTCACTAGCAGCACCGGACTTGAAAATAGACTCACACTGGGTTTGATGATCCCAAAAGCCATCATCTTTTTAACAATGTGCTCTATCTCATTCTTTTGATATTATGGGTATTTATACGATCGAAGATTTGGGGGTTGGGTTCCTGACACTAATGGAATTGAATGGTCTTGAGTCCTAATGGGTGGTAATCTGGCCAAGGGTTTGAACACCTGTCCAAACTTATCCAGCACCTCTACCAACTTTTCGTCAATTCTCTCTTCATTTCCCATTTGTCTTTGAGTCTCCCCAAACTCGATTAACACTCCATGTCCTTCCCTCTGTACAGTTTTAATCATGGCCTTCAGAGATACTAGTGTTTTGCTTAAGGAAGGATCCCCTCGTAGTTGTACCATTCGCTATCCTGATCTGAACTTCATAATCTGCTTCTTCCAATTAATTAATGTCCCTAAAGTCTCCAACCAAGCCATCCTGAGTACTACATCAGCGCCTCCTATTTCAAATGGAAAAAAATCTTGAACTACAACCATTCCTTGTAATTCCAGTGGAACCACTTTACATTCCCCCTGACATGGCACATGATAACCATCTCCCAGTTTGACTCTGAAGGACGGGGTCGTAACCGTTGGTAATTCCAACCTACCCACTCCCTCCAAACCAATGAAGTTGTGGGAAGCCCCACTATCAATCAACACAATTAATTCCTTACCGTGGACACTGCCTTTAAGCTTCATCGTTTTTGGCCCTTGCATTCCCACCACCGAGATGATGGATAGATCCACATGGCTTTGATTTTGTTTAGCTGCAACTTCCTCCTTTTCCTCATCTTCCTACAGCTCTGGATCCTCATCTTCTCCCTCAAGCAAGACAATCTGAAACTGTTTATCACTACACCTATGCCCAAGTGAAAATTTTGCATCACATTTATAACATAATCCCTTTCCTCTCTTTCTTTGGATCTCAGATTCTATTAACCTCCGGAAGGGAAAATCTCGCCGAAAGTTGGAAGATCTGAAGGTTTCTGTTGGAGTTGACGCATAACTGGAGTTGTTCTCAGTGGAAGCACGCCTGAAATTTGTGTTTTGGGGCTAAATTTTCGTGTTGAATGTTGAATGTGTTTGGGTGGTGCTGGGTTAGGTTATGTGGGTTTGGGTTCTATTTTGCTCTTCCATTCTAATTAGATTTAAGTTGAAACGTGGGCCATTACTAATTCCCCCAAACTTTCCTTGTAAGCCTAACCCTTATTTGGCCTCTTCCAATATTGCATTCCTTTCTTCCACTCTCTAGGCCAGAATTGCAATTTGAGTTTAAGAATTTGCTGACCCAAAATGTTTGGTTGCTAGAGCTTCACCTCAACACGGATCTCGAGTTGTAACCCGTTTAAGAATGCTATAGAAAGCGCGTCCTCCCTTTCTCCCACTATCATTGCCGCAATTTCTTCAAACCGCCAGTGATAATCCAGCAGAGTTTCCATTTGCCTCGTTGACATAAGAAGTTCCAACCGGCTGATTTCTTGTGTGCCGCTGAATCTCTGCAGGAAAGCTACCTTGAACGCAGGCCATGTCAGTCCCGGCGTCCTGGATTCGTTCCATTGATACCAATAGAGGGCCTCCCCTTCCATGCACAACGCCGTAGAGAGGACCTTGCTCTTGTCAGAAACTTGGGTAAGGGTGAAGTATCTTTCCATGCGAAAAATCTAGCCATACAAATCTTCACCAGAAAAAAGTGGAATCTCTAATTTTCTGCCTCCCCACTCTCGTTGGTTTCCCCCTTCGTGGTGGTGATAGCCTCCTTGGTAAGGAGGAGGTGGCGATTGTTCATTTTCCCTGCGGTGGTCTTCATCACGGTGGTTCCCCGTGCCTGAGTTGTTGTCTTCTTCCTGCTCTGCCATCCTCTAGTGAGCCTCTTCCTTAGTTTTATGACGTCTTTCTTCTTCTGCTCTATGGTGAGCTTCTTCGTGTTTGTCCTTACGCCTCATCCAGTTTTGCACATCCATCATTATCTCCCTCATGGACGCCACTGTTTCTGTCAACTTGGAAATGTCTCTCTTCACCCCAGTAACTTCCTTCTTAACAATGTCCATTCTATTTTCCATTCTAGTACTGACCGTACCCCAGCGAGCATCCTCACTCTGATACCAATTGATAAGATTCAGCAACTCAACAAACCCAACAACAAAATGAAACAGTTAAAAAAGAAAAAATGTTAACAAAATATTCAAGAACAAAATGTTGTATTCGAATGAATCAGACTATGTATTACACTTTTGGAATTGCAAAAAATAACCTGGATAATAAGTTCATTGTGTACTCAATATCAAAGACTCAAAAACACTCAAAACATATTCAAAGAAAAAAATAATCACTGCTGAGCTTCGAGGGCCAACTTCCTCCCAAATTTCCTTGTCCTCTCTTCTGCCTTTCCCTGATGATCTGCTTCCTTTTTGTAATGCCCAGTATAACATAATACTGTACTACTCCTCTCCTATATTGCCATCTGTCTAGTATTCAAATAACAGAATGTTGTACTGCTCCTCTCCCATATTGCCATTTGTCTTGTGTTGATTGTCCTCTGTCATGTTGCCATCTGTCCTGTACTGTTTTGCCAGCCCAACTTGTGATCCTCTACTATGCTTCCCTTGCCTATTGTAGACCTACATTGCATGTGATCTATCACAGTCATTGTTAAAAATTGCCCTGTTCAAGCTACTATAGTCCAATCATCTTTCGCTCAAGCTACTGTAGTCCAATCTTCTTCCTCTCAAGCCAACATCTTCCAATCTTCTTCTGCCCTAGCCATCGCAATCCAATCTTCCTCTCAACAAGCCATTGCAATCCAATCTTATAAAGCCACTGCAATATCGGAAAGTAAATGGAATTTGTTTGAACTAATTTTTCCAACAACTCATATTAAGTTGTGGTTGTCTTTTGCTTGGAGTTATCTGTTGTACCAAAACAAAATCCTTGAGGACAAGGACTGTTTCAAGAGGAGAGGAATGTTACGTACCCATTTTGATAATGGGTAAATGTTAATTAAATTGTATTTTAAGAGTTTTCTTATGGATTTATTTGTTAATTAATAGTGAGTTTATCTCAATAATTTAAATAAATTAGATTAGAATATAGATAAGTTTTATTTTAGTTGAATAAGCCAGCCACGTATTTAGGATTCTTTAGTTAGGGTTAAACGTGTATTTTGGTTTGTTTAAATTGTTGAACTTTGCTATTTTGTAGGAAAATATGATTGTAAGCTTCCATATATTTCCTACATTTCTATTGGAATGAAGATGATGATTATTTGCATAAAAGATTCTATTTGAACTCTGAGGTTTTTAGCTCCTTCAATTGAACAAGAATTACTTTCTTTTCTATTTAATATCAAAATAAGTCGAGGAAATAAAACTTCTTCAAGCACAAAGGAACTCCATCCTTGTTGCAAGACCTCTGTCTAATTTGCTGTTGAAAGCATTTTTGATCATTAATCTTCTATTATCATAAAAATCCATCCATGCTGTTTGATGTTTTAGATGGCTGACATCTGTTATTCATTAATCCAATTCACTAACTCTTATCATTAAGCAAAATCTGGGCTTAAAACAAAGCCAAATCTATATTTATTCCTTCAAAATTTATAAACAAGCATGTCAATGTACATAAATACTATACTATACCTACCTAACTCCATTTCAATTATCAAACTTTTCCTCTCAACAAATATAGAACAGCATACACCTAAAGCCAATGCTGAAACTATATCATGGTTCTTTCGCCAGAGCAGGCTTCCCAAATGAGAAGTCACCTTCATTGCTGCTATCTTCCTCATGATGGGGTTCATTTATTTCAATTGCTCCATCGTTATTTTTATCCACATTTATAACAAAGTTGGCTGTTGGTGATATGGGTGCTAATGGATTAGCTTCATCATCAGATGCCTCATTGTCGTCATAGGTGTATGAGCGTGTAGAGTGACCTGTTGTTTTGAAACGTTGTAGTCTGTGTTCTGCTTGAGAGTGCACTGTTGAAATGCTTGGGTTTACACTTTCCCCTAGCGTTCGAGTTGGGGACTTTCCTCCCTTCTGCTTCTTCACTGCCATGTGCCACTTCTTGAGGGCCTTGGACGTTTGGTCATCAAAGATTGATCTCTTCATGCGCGAACCCATCTACAAGTATTCACACCAGGGATAATTTTATTTAGTTCAATCATGCATAACTTGTAGAATAACAAACATGAAAACAAATAATGTGAAGCTCCAAAAATACTACTTGTTCTTACAAATTGGTTAAGGATTAATGTATTGCACACATCGTTGTTTTTATCCACATTTATAATTGAAAAATAAATGTACCTGCGTGACAAGGGCATATAGAGGAAGTGTGATGTAGCTGCATAGAACTAAGACCACAACCCTGCAAACCCAACAAATATTCAGCTATGAATTCATATTATGATACATTGTAAGAATGCTACACGGGCTATTGGATGGGTAAGTATTGACAAATAATGTCCTCATTGAACTAAAAAGTTTGTTGTTCAGCATTTGATTGAAAGTGTTCCTGTTTCTGAGGAGACAAATATGCCTTACCCTAAAGCAACTTTCAATATTGCAAGCTTGATATTAGCATGGAAGCAAGAATTCAATCCAAAAGAGTACTGCACACAAAGAAAAACTTCGTTATAATGTAATTCTGATACTTGCATTAATTATGAAAGTAGGAGAATCTGAGGAAGAGGGACTGTTATTTAATTGTTTAATTTGCATAGAAGGATTCTTTACCCATATCCAAAAGAAATATGTAATCTGGAAAGCATTCTGCAAGCACCCAAAAAGCACAAAAAGAGTTAGCTCGTCAATGGAACAGTTTTAAACTTTGCAAGTAAACAAGTAACAGTAGAAGTATCCACTGTGGTTGATTACCGCAGAGAGAGGTATCAGAATTAAATGGCCATAAGCTATTAAACAAAAGAGTCACAGAATTGACCTACAAATCAAGGATCGAGTCCCCTACAGAAAGATCTTTTGAAAGAAAATAGTATGGAAACTATAGACCGAGGATGAAGAATTGTTGTCTATTGACTCGAAGATGAAATGTAGCACTAAGGCCTCATCAATTGAATAGATGCATTTAATAGTAAGGGTATCCAAACCAAATTAATTTCACTTTATGGATCTCTTACAAGAAACAGATGGGATGAAGAGCAAAAGACAACCCCTTTGAATGTTCTTTAAGTTATAAAATGAAGCTTCCGTTTATCATAATCTAGACACAGCATGCATAAAAGTCTACAGCAAGTAATTTAGTTCACTTGTTTGATCTTACTTTACTCCAATTTCACTCTAATCATATTTATTAAAGATCTTCTATCTGCGAAAGAGGAGGTCATTCAGTACCTGAAACAAAGCGAAGTGAATGAGATGAAGCACTAATGAGGCGACCCAAACCAAAAGTATTTGTCTGAGCCCTGTACAAGTGGCATCCCTTGCACCACCGCATGTCTTTGTAATTTCAAGAGCCATCTTTGTCAAAATGGATTGAAGCTCCATTCCATAGCTAAGATTCTCGCAACCAATTAATAGTATTCGAATTTCAACTCTTCCAGTAAGTCAGGATGATAGGTTGCAGAGAATAAATTTCTTACAATCACAGGGATTAAGGATGCCAAAAACAATGCTGCCATCCTGAAAAGGAAAAAAAAATATGTTAATGAACTATATCAACTTCTAGTTCAATTAAGTGCAGAATCATTTAGTTCAAAGGCATTTCAGAGAAGATGACTCACCATTAACGTTTACAAGCAAGAAAAGCACAAATGATGCCCACAAGACAGGACTGCCAATAAACAAAAAAAAATGGAAAAAAAATGTAATTGATTATAGGCAAGATGGTACAAGAAAACTGAGAACATAGCATGATAAGAAACACATTAAATAAAAAGAGATTACCTTCTCCCACACTACCTTGAAGTCGTCCTCTAATGATCGTTTAATATATTTTGGAAGTTAAATTTGCTTCCAGGGACTAAATGACCTATCATTAATACAAATTGTTAGGGTAGAGCCACAACTCAACTTTCCTAACTTTAGACTGTGAATTGTTTAACTGAAAACTCACATTGATGAATCGCAACTCAAGTAGTCAGACCCTAACAACCTAAAAATTGTCGAAAGAAGCATCCCTCAATGAGATAGAGATTTTAATATATATTGTATTGTAATGTCTTTGAAGCCAAATTAAAAAATGCATTACACTTGGGACTCATTAGAGCTTTACTACCCTAGAAACAGAAGAAAGATGAACATGCGACTTACAATATAAAAGATGATAGGAAGCTTGGTCCGAAACTGGTGTGTGCTCTTACAAAGATGTCTGAGGGTAAGTCTGATCTAGAAGGTCTGCATATTATACAGATCTGAATTAGCTTTAAAGATGAGCATAAATGCAGGTATTTAGTTATAGCTAGGCAAAATATTTTCGGGCTCAAACACCAAATTTCAAGCCACAATATTTACTAATGAAGAAAAAAAAATATTCACTTTCTCATGGATAATTTACCATTTGAGAACTCATGTCATGGGTTGAAGCTCCTGCTCCACTTCTTCCAGCCGCGAATCTGTCCACATAACTATTGTTAGTAACTAAATCCAGTGTTACCAGAGGGAAAAGACAACATCATAATTGATTATCATGGCAAGGTTTTTTGACAGATTTCTACCTTTACTTCCCAAGATGGTAACAGCACTGTATAAGACTAAAAGACTGCTAAAAAGAATATGAGGATTGTAATTGGTCAATGCTTCTGTTGATATAAGCGGTTCATACCCTGTAGACAGAAAACAGATCAGCTTTACTTGATTTTATGATTTTATTAGTACATAAAAGGTATCAACCATCAAAATTAGGGTAAAAGTACAGCAGGTCTTGCATCTTAGTAGACAATGTTTCCAGTAACATATAGCTTCAATTATACCAGGAGATGAAGCTTGGTTCATTGCATTATCCAGGAGTTCATTCATCACTCAAAACAAATTAATAGTTCTCCTTTGTATATATTGTAAATTCTAATGACTACTGAGACATCAACAGAAAGAATATGCTCGGGAAAAAAATTTATCATTGGTCACGTTGGCAGTAAAACACTGCATTGAAGGTTGTCAGCATAATATCAAACCACAAAAAGTAATGGCTCATACATTGCAAGAAAGAAAATAAATACATGCTAGTTACAACATAAATCTCCACTATAATTTGAGCTTTATATGCACTCACCGACTTGCATGAAGGAGTGGTTGTATCCAAAGAAGATAAGTATCTACGTCAAACCACAGTCGTCTACGATTTTCTGATCCGCTACTTGACTCTCCATCATTCCCACTATCGATACGCAACCACATAGTGTCTGCAACCTTGAAAGGAATACATATCTTGAAAATTACTTCTGCCCAAAGTGAGTATGAGCGATGAATCCCGGAACCACAACTCTGCAAAATTACATATAAATGTCAATTAAGCACGCAGTTTTTGTCTCCACTCAAAAAATTACCAGAATTATAGAATAAAATTTACTTCTTACCAGATTTGACCTTCTCAAGGGCTTCAAACAAAGCCGCCTTGTGCTTCTCTGTAAGAACCTAATTTGTATTCCAGTAAATTGCCAAGTCAATCAAAGGCCGAATACAACAACATTCTAAGATTACAACACTATTTGAACTACATGAGAATCTTACTATTTACTAGTATAACCGTTGAAAAATCCAACTTTGAATCATGACTAAATTGAGTAAAAACTCACACTAAGTAGCATATAGAATAAAAATCAAAGAACTTCAAACACATAACATATAACCAGAAATTTAAGTTTATTGCCTCAAAAAGGGAAAAAAAAAAAGAAAAAAGAACCAACATAACAATATAAGAACTGGAATGAGAAGTTAACAAGATAATTAAAAGGGTCAAGGCAGTTATAGAACAAATATGAAGAAACTCTTGGCAGTAAAGAATTTCTAAAAGGATAATAAAAGTAAATGAACTACAGTTCAAGTGTTGAAAATTTTTTCCAAGAAATAGAAATGATGATGATTACAGCCACCACAGCAACGCCCAGTTGGTGTCTGACTAACTGCCCCTCCGTTGAGGTATAGTACTACTGCTTGAACTCGATGCTGCCATGGCTACATCACCACACACCAACAAAAGAGAAAGAGGATAAGCAACATTTTGGAGTTTGGTGTTGAATTCAATGAACCCAGAAGAATTAAAACAAAAAACAGAGGAACAAAAAGAATCAGAAGCTATGTTTGATGTTTGTAATACTCCCTCTTTTTAAATGAGTGAATATATGGAAGAAGGCATGCATTAATTGACCGAAGTGACAAATTTGGATCCAGTAAGAAAGAAAGTGATGAGGAAACTGCATAAAACACGTTTGTTTATTTGTACTTGCAACAAAATGTTGTCTTGGTAACCGCTGAGCATGCTACTCAAGTAATCAACCATTTATGACGACAAGGGAAATCTTAAAACTAATCTATTTAAAGAAAGTAACACATCCATTTCATTTCCCACTTGTTTACATATTTTATAGGTCCGTATATTTTGCTAATCTTATAGGGCGGTTTTGGTTTGGTGAGCCTGGAGGCGAGATGAGTCAACGTCCATTGTTCAATGATTATTAAAAGAGCGCATTACTTCAATAGAAACATCCCAGTGGCAGTATCTAAGCATCTAATTACAAGAAAAGGAAAAAAAGAAGGGGAGGAGGGAAAAGACGGAGAAGAAAGGAAAGAAACAGAAGGGAAAAGAGAGAGAAGAAAAGGAAAAAAGAGAAGGGGAGGAGGGAAAAGACGGAGAACTGGAGAAGAAAGGAAAGAAAGAGAAGGGAAAAGTTAAAAAAAAAAGAAAGGGGAGGAGGGAAAAGACGGAGAAAAAGAAAGAAAGACAAGGGAGAGATGAAGAAGAAGATAAGAGAGATTTATTAATTAATTTAAAATTTATGGATATAAAATTACTATATTGCCCTTATTAAACAGATTTTATTAATAGTGTTGTACATAAATGGGTAATTGTCATTTTTAAACCTTTTAGGTACCAACTTGTTGTTATGACAAACTATGGGTGGGTGCATGTGGGTCGGCCTAATGGATCAATTTCTGTATGGCGCTTTGAGGTTGCAGATTGTTCACGAGACCTGGCTACTGGCTGCCTCCACTATCAATTGTCCACATGTTATAAACAGACGTTCATTATATGTGGACATCCATCCATTCGTATGGACTCCGTCTAATAACAATGAACGGTGGTTATAAATCAGTATATTTTTAACTAGTGTGAGTACTGTACAATATGATTAAAAATAGAAAGATGATATCTCTTATAACCATTAGTCAAATCCGTTAGTCTAATGGAACGTTACATTAATATGAATGATTATTAAGATTAACAACCTGTTACTTTGTCTTTTTCTCCAATAAAATTGGAATCCAAGAGTTACAGTAACCTGTAAATAATTCATCTGCCCGTGGCTAATCCATATTTGAAGGTTTAAGAATATTTCAAGTGGGAATGGATCTGGATCCAAGAAATAAGACCACTTTTACAGGCCCATGCGTTATTGGGTTTCTACCTGTTAAGTAGTTTATTGTCTGTTTTGGGCCGATTGACGGTAGGGGNCTTCATAATTGCTCCAAGTCTTTCTCTACAGTGTGTGAAAATTATGCTTAAAAATGCATTGATTAATTCCACGTAACCTTTGTGCTATTGAGCCAAACTATACTGTCACGTTCATGAAATTACTGTTTGATTACGACCTTACAGTGAAGATATTTCCAACCACCATTCATGATTCATCTATATAATTGAGTTTAGTTACTGGGGTCATATGAATTACAGTAGGTGTAACCTGTTAATTAAAGCTTCTTTGTCGTCTTCGCTAAAGCTAAGTGGCTCCTTAGTTGAGATGAGGTGTTCTTGGAGCTCATGCACATCACAAAACCAAAGTCTATTTAGATTATATATTCTGAATCTGTGAGACTTCAGTTTGTTTAATTATGATCAGTGAAACCGCGTATATATATATATATCTTCTACTAAAAGCAAATTAATGAAGCATTAATTAAGTGCTGCTGGGCAGGTTCTTTGGCTTAGGTTACCTAAATCTTTACACCATTTGCCCTTAGAATTAATAAAAGTTGAGGAGAAGTGATTGCCATTAATTTATCATATAGAATTAATTCGTAAAAGCAGGCTTGATTGGTGGGAGAATAAAGTACTCATCTCTTTCAGAAGTGGTGGTTCCACAGTTCCACTTCCATATACTGTATATATATTTTATTTTTCTGGTCCCACCATGGCAGAAGATAGTCAGATACAACAATATTATCTCGATTCAGGAGGCAGCCATCATATAAAAATATATATATCATAGTATTCTCCATCCCTCTTGCGTAGCTTTCTCCTGTATAATAACTTTAAAAGAGTGCTCATTAATTGACCCTGTACTATTCCTAATCGGCTTGCAGGAATATGGAGGCTCCATCCTTAGAACCCTTCAAATTAGTTACGAAAACTCAAGTCCTTGTTCCAAAATTAAAGATGTTCTTCAGTTACTGCTTTAATAAAAGCAGTTGGTGAGATCGGAATCGCCCTAGCTAAGTTCTGATATGGGATTATTGACCTATTGTACAAAGAAGAGGGGGTCCTTTTCTTTCAATATTTGGGTAGCTTGCATTGACCATTGAACCGCTGCTTGTAGTTGCAGATATATCTGTGCATGGTGGGGTTACATTTGAATAACTTGGATGAGCCGCGTTTCACACTTCAGTTTCAGGTTTGTATTCTAGAAAGTTAATTAACGTGTCAAATGATTGACTCAGGTTTGTATCACTCTGCCCTTAGTTTATGCACTTAGATTTGACCTCCTCAACTACTTTGTATGTATTCATACTTCTATATCTATATTTAATTCTTAACCTCATGGATCCAGATAATTCCCACCTCCCCAATGTGTATGAAAAGAAGAATTTTTTTTCTAAGATATTTGTTGATCAAATCTGTAGTAAGATTCCTGATCTTGCAGGATGATTGGTTGTGTATAAAGTATTCTGGTATATAAAACAAGATAACCCATGTTGTTCTTCTGAATCAACATAGCATACTCGTTTTCATGGAAAATTCAAGTTTCCATCGTCACCGAGTCTTGACATGTCAATTTGGTAAAAAGTAGAATCAATTTCTTAAGGAGTTGATGATTGACAAAACCTAATGGCCACCCAATCAACCATATTCTATGCAAAAAGAAAAGGACGCGGTAAGATTTTTAAGTAGATGTGAACACTTAACCTCAATTTCAAACATATAAATCATTATATTTTTAAGTAGTGTGATTACTGCGGAATATGAATAAACATAGAAAGATGATATCTGCTTATAACTATCAGTCAAATCCGTTAGTCTAATGGAACGTTACATTAATATGAATGATTATTAAGATTAACAACCTGTTACTTTGTCTTTTTCTCCAATAAAATTGGAATCCAAGAGTTACAGTAACCTGTAAATAATTCATCTGCCCGTGGCTAATCCATATTTGAAGGTTTAAGAATATTTCAAGTGGGAATGGATCTGGATCCAAGAAATAAGACCACTTTTACAGGCCCATGCGTTATTGGGTTTCTACCTGTTAAGTAGTTTATTGTCTGTTTTGGGCCGATTGACGGTAGGGGGTTTAAACAATACTGACACCTCAGCCCTCAGGGGGGGCTTATTGTTATGGTGAAAATTTCTTTATAAACCATAACATTTCGCAAACTATAGCTCCCCATAAGTTTCATAAAAGTACATGTAAACCCCTTTCGTGCGAGAAAGAATCAACAACCTCCTCTCAACTAAACCTTAGAAAATCGTGACAATTGCCCCCCTCGTTTCTCAACTATGAACAACCGCCAAAATATCACTAAACTTTATAAATTATGAATGATTGCATAACATGATCACATTGTTCCACAAAATTTCTATAAAACAGTTGGAAATGAATCAACCAACGTGTAAGAAATATGTAGTCAATGTTTTGGATGTTGATAAACAGACTCTATGGATGTAATTCATATGTCTGGGAATCCGATAGTGATAAGCGATTAGCTAGATCATTTCACCATTGGCTTTAGTAGTTTTATACAATTTGTTTTAAACTGGGATTAGTACAAATGTAGCTACAATTCCGACTGTTGTAAACGTTGGGGCTGTTTTCTCCTTCAATTCTACCATTGGCAAAGTTGTAAAAGTTGCAGTAGATGCTGCTGTGGAAGGTGTGAATTCTAACCCAAGTATCCTTGGTGGAACTCCTTGGTGGAACTAAGCTGAAGCTAACTATGAAAGTTCTAATTTCCGGCTGAAACCATTTTGAACATCAATCTTCTATTATCATAAGATTCATCCATGCTGTTTGATGTTTTAGATGGCTGACATCTGTTATTCATTAATCCAATTCACTAACTCTATCATTAAGCAAAATTTGGGCTTAAAACAAAGCCCAATCTATATTTATCCCTTCAAAAAGTTATAAACAAGCATGTCAATGTACTAAATACTATACTATACCTACCTAACTCCATTTCAATTATCAAACTTTCCTCTCAACAAATATAGAACAGCATACCCTAAAGCCAATGCTGAAACTATATCATGGTTCTTTCGCCAGAGCAGGCTTCCCAAATGGAAGTCACCTTCATTGCTGCTATCTTCCCATGATGGGGCTCTTTATTTCAATGCTCCATCGTTATTTTTATCCACATTTATAACAAAGTGGCTGTTGGTGATATGGGTGCTAATGGTTAGCTTCCATCAGATGCCATTGTCGTCATAGGTGTATGGACGTGTGATTGACCTGTTGTTTTGAAACGTTGTAGTCTGTGTTCTGCTTGAGAGTGCACTGTTGAAATGCTTGGGTTTACACTTTCCCCTAGCGTTCGAGTTGGGGACTTCCCTCCCTTCTGCTTCTTCACTGCCATGTGCCACCTTGAGGGCCTTGGACTTTTGGTCATCAAGATTGATCTCTTCATGCGCAACCCATCTACAAGTATTCACACCAGGGATAATTTTATTTAGTTCAATCATGCATAACTTGTAGAATAACAAACATGAAAACAAATAATGTGAACTCCAAAAATACTACTTGTTCTTACAAATTGGTAAGGATTAATGTATTGCACACATCGTTGTTTTTATCCACATTTAAATTGAAAATAAATGACCGGCGTGCAAGGGCATATAGAGGAAGTGTGATGTAGCTGCATAGAACTAAGACCACAACCCTGCAAACCCAACAAATATTCAGCTATGAATTCATATAGTACATTGTAAGAATGCTACACGGGCTATTGATGGGTAAGTATTGACAAATAATGTCCTCATTGAACTAAAAAGTTTGTGTTCAGCATTTGATTGAAAGTGTTCCTGTTTCTGAGAGACAAATATGCCTTACCCTAAAGCAACTTTCAATATTGCAAGCTTGATATTAGCATGGAAGCAAGAATTCAATCCAAAGAGTACTGCACACAGAAAAACTTCGTTATATGTAATTCTGATACTTGCATTAATTATGAAAGTAGGAGAATCTGAGGAAAGGACTGTTATTTAATTGTTTATTTGCATAGAAGGATTCTTTACCCATATCCAAAGAAATATGTATCTGGAAAGCATTCTGCAAGCACCCAAAAAGCACAAAAGAGTTAGCTCGTCAATGGAACAGTTTTAAACTTTGCAAGTAAACAAGTACAGTAGAAGTATCCACTGTGGTTGATTACCGCAGAGAAGGTATCAGAATTAAATGGCCATAAGCTATTAAACCAAAGAGTCACAGAATTGACCTACAAATCAAGGATCGAGTCCCCTACAGAAAGATCTTTTGAAGAAAATAGTATGGAAACTATAGACCGAGGATGAAGAATTGTTGTCTATTGACTCGAAGATGAATGTACACTAAGGCCTCATCAATTGAATAGATGCATTTAATAGTAAGGGTATCCAAACCAAATAATTTCACTTTATGACTCTTACAAGAAACAGATGGGATGAAGAGCAAAAGACAACCCCTTTGAATGTTCTTTAAGTTATAAAATGAAGCTTCCGTTTATCATAATCTAGACATAGCATGCATAAAAGTCTACAGCAAGTAATTTAGTTCACTTGTTTGATCTTACTTTACTCCAATTTCACTCTAATCATATTTATTAAAGATCTTCTATCTGCGAAGAGAGGTCATTCGTACCTGAAACAAAGCGAAGTGAATGAGATGAAGCACTAAATGAGGCCGACCAAACCAAAAGTATTTGTCTGAGCCCTGTACAAGTGGCATCCCTTGCACCACCGCATGTCTTTCGGTAATTTCAAGAGCCATCTGTGTCAAAATGGATTGAGCTCCATTCCAATAGCTAAGATTATCTGCAACCAATTAATAGTATTCAGAATTTCAATTCCAGTAAGTCAAGATGATAGGTTGCAGAGAATAAATTTCTTACAATCACAGGGATTAAGGATGCCCACAACAATGCTTGCCCCTGAAAAGGAAAATAAATATGTTAATGAACTATATCAACTTCTAGTTCAATTTAAAGTGCAGAATCATTTAGTTCAAAAGGCATTATCAAGAAAGATACTCACCATTAACGTTTACAAGCGAAAGCACAAATGATGCCCACAAGACAGGACTGCCAATAACAAAAAAAAAAAGGAAAAAAAAATGTCAGGACAAAACATATACATATGTAATTGATTAGGCAAGAGTGGTAACAGAAAACTGCAGAGCATAGCATGATAAGAACACATTAAATAAAAAGAGTATTACCTTACTCCCACCACTATCTTGAAGTCGTCCTCTAATGATCGTTTAATATATTTTTGGAAGTTAAATTTGCTTCCAGGAGCTAAATGAACCTATCATTAATACAGAATTGTTAGGGTAGAGCCACAAACTCAACTTTCCTAACTTTAGGAACTGTGAATTGTCTAACTGAAAACTCACATTGATGAATCCGTTGCGCAACGTCAAGTAGTCAGACCTACTACAGACCTAAAAAATTGTCGAAAGAGCCCTCCTGCGATTGAATAGAGATTTTAATATATATCGTATTGTAATGTCTTTTGAAGCCAAATTAAAATAATCCATTACTACTTGGGACTCATTAGAGCTTTCTAACTCTAGAAACAGAAGAAGATGAACATGCGACTTACATATAAAGATGATAGGAAGCTTGGTCCGAAACTGGTGTGTGCTCTTACAAAAGATGTCTGATGGTAATCTGAATCGAAGGATCTGCGTATTAATACATATCTGAATTAGCTTTAAAGATGAGCATAATGCAGGTATTTAGGTATAGCTAGGGCAAAATTTTTTCGGGCTCAAACACCAAATTCAAGCCACAATATTTACTATGAAGAAAAAAAAAAATATTCCTTTCTCATGGATAATTACCATTTGAGAACTCTAGTCATGGGTTGAAGTCTCCTGCTCCCACTTCTTCCACCGCGAATCTGTCCAACATAACTACTGGTTAGTAACTAATCCAGTAGTTACCAAGGGAAAAGACAACATCATAATTGATTATCATGGCAAGGTTTTTTGACAGATTTCATACCTTTAACCCCAAGCAACATGGTAACAGCACGTATAAGACATGAGAACTGCTAAAAAGAATATGAGGATGTGTAATTGGTCAATGCTTCTGTTGATATGCGTTTCATACCCTGTAGACAGAAAACAATCAGCTATTACTTGAATTTATGGATTTTAATTAGTACTAAAAGGTATCAACCATCAAAATTTAGGGGGTGAAAGTACAGCAGGTCTTGCATCTTAGTAGGACAATGTTTCCACGTAACATATAGCTTCAAATTTAATACCAGGAGATGAAGCTTGGTTCATATTGCATTATCCAGGGGTTCATTCATCACTCAAAACAAATTTATAGTTCTAACTTTGTATATATCTGTTAAATTCTATATGACTACATGAGACATTGAACAAAAAGAATGTGCATCTGGGATGTTGTAAGTCTTGTGATTTAATTAGAATCACGAAACACACAGGTTAGATTTCATATGCATTGGCAATGAAAACATATCGAAAGATTGTGGAGGCATGAAAGATATCTATGCGTAATAATTTTAATATTAAGTTTCCTTTGGCTTGTAGCACCAAGGTCACCCCCAGGCACCCACCCAACTCCCAAAACCGGAAAAGAAAATTTATCATTGGTCATGTTGGCAGTAAAACACTGCATTCAAGGTTGTCAACATAACATTTCAAACCACAAAAACTAATGGCTCATACATTGCAAGAAAGAAAATACAATACATGCCAGTCACAACATAAATCTCCACTATAATTTGAGCTTTATAAGCACTCACCGACTTGCATGAAGGAGTAGTTGTATCCGAAGAAGATAAGTATCTACGGTCAAACCACAAGAGTCGTCTACGATGTTCTGATTCGCTACTTGACTCTCCATCATTCACACTATCTGATACGCAAGGCAGCATAGTGTCTGCAACCTTGAAAGGAATACATATCTTGATAATATACTTCTGCCCAAAAGTGAGTATGAGCGAAATGAATCCCAGAACCATCAACTCTGCAAAAATTACATATTAAATGTCAATTAAGCACGCAGTTTTTGTCTCCACTAAAAAAATTACCAGAATTATAGAATAAAATTTATCTTCTTACCAGATTTGACCTTCTCAAGGGCTTCAAACAAAGCCGCCTTGTGCTTCTCTGTAAGAACCTGAATTTGTATTCCAGTAAATTGCCACAGTCAATCAAAGGACCGAATACAACAACATTCTAAGATTAACAAACACTATTTGAACTACAGTGAGAATCTTACATATTTACTAGTATAACCGTTGAAAAAATCCAATCTTGAATCATGACTAAATTGAGTAAAAACTCAGCACTAAGTAGCAATATGAGGAATAAAAATCAAAGAACTTCAAACACATAACATATAAACCAGAAATTTAACGTTTATTAAGCCTCAAAAAAGGGAAAAAAAAAAAATGAAAGAAAGAACCAAACATAACAATATAAAGAACTGGAATGAGAAGTTAACAAGATAATTAAAAGGGTCAAGGCAGTTATAGAACAAATATGAAGAAACTCTTGGCAGTAAAGAATTTCTAAAAGGATAATAAAAGTAAATGAACTTACAGTTCCAAGTTTGTGAAGAATTTTTTCCAAGAAAATAGAAATGATGATGATTACAGCACAAACAACAGCAACAGCCCATGTTGGTGTCTGACTAATCTGCCTCTCCGTTGAGGTACTAGTACTACTGCTTGAACTCGATGCTGCCATGGCTACATCACCACACACCAACAAAAGAGAAAGAGAGAATAGAAGCAACATTTTGGAAGGTTTGATGTTGAATTCAATGAACCCAGAAAAGTTAAAACAAAAAACAGAGGAACGAAAAGAATCAGAAGCTATGTTTGATGTTTGTAATACTCTCTCTTTTAAATGAGTGAATATATTGAAGAGGGCATGCATTAATTGACCGGAGTGACCACTCTGGATCCAGTAAGAAAGAAAGTGATGAGGAAACTGCCCCAAAGAGGCTGGTTTTAGTTCAAATAAAACACGTTTGTACTTGCAACAAAATGTTGTCTTGGTAACCGCTGAGCATGCTAGTCAAGTAATCAACCATTTATGACGACATGGGAAATCTTCATTAATAAAACTAACTATTTAAAGAAAAGTAACACATCCATTTCATTTCCCACTTGTTTACATATTTTAATGGTCCGTATATTTTGCTAATCTTATTTGGTGAGCCTGGAGAGAGAAAAGCGAGATGAGTCAACGTCCATTGTTTATTAAGAGAGCGCATGAACATGAAGATTGAGGCAGTAAACGAAGATGCCATATCATGGAATTGCCAAATGGTTAAATACATAAGTAAATTTAAAGATCTCAGTATCGATACAAATATCATCTCAGAGTCAAAATTATACGCAAAATACATTGATGAGTATCCATCAATTGTGATACCAGAAAAAGAAGGTGACAGCATAAAATTCCAAATATCAATATTTTGTGGCTTGAATGGGGGGAATTCTCTTTCCAAACATGTAATTAGGCCAAATGGGTTTCTGGCTGTGGTTAGGTTGGCCTGGCTCCACTAATAATCTAGTGTCGTGGAATCTGGACCCTCTCAGTCTCTAGTTTCAAACTCGATGGCTTCTCGCCTTTGGTGATTGGACCGTTCATGAATAAGAGTAAACGACTTTTTCCCACCCAAGGATGGGTGTAATGACACTTTTTCACCAGTTAAGTTTCAAAATGACACTTTTTCCACACATCAATTTTCAAAATGATATTTTTCCCACCCACCATTATGGTTGGTTAAGAAAATTCATTATGTCACATGGTATAAACGGTCTAAAGACAAAAATATCATTCTCTCTTATTCTTCTCTTTCTTCTTTCTCATTCGCCACCTCTAATTCCGATGATCGGAAAAACAATCACACATAACCACAAACACTTCTAATCCGATGATTGGAAAAATAATTACACACAACCACAAATACTTCTAAACCAACTTCACTAGTCGATTTCCAACAAAACAACTCCAAACAATTACACCCAAATCATTAATCAAGTAAAAATCCCTAGGAAATGAAGCGGTTTTGGCCGGAAAGTAGGATTGGCTTGGTTAGGGACTTCAAAGAGGAAGTGCCTGTGGTGGTATCAATGTTGATTTCAAATGACGGGATTGACTGAAAAAGCTTGGGGCCCGCAAAACAAGCCAAGCACAATGATCGGCACACAGCGAGCTAAAAAGTGTGGAGTAGTTGGGGTTTTGATTAGGGAGATGAGGGAAGTATTTTGGTGGCGTCAAGGGAGGTAGATGACACCGGAAACAAGTTGATTTAGCCTGGATCGGTGGGGCTATAGGGGTGAAAAAAAATCGAGTCGAGCCACTCGCTAGCTACTCGAATTTGACTCGATGTTGGCTCAAACTCAACTCGACATTAGTCAAGTTGAGTTTGAGTAGTTAATTGAGTCGAGTTCGATCACAGTAGAACTTGACTTAATATGTTTGCGAGTATTTATAAGCTCGATGGTTAAATTGATAATTTTTAAAGTAATAGAGTTCATATGCAATTTAAAAATTATATAATTTGCAAATCCACACTTATTAGATGAGCTCGAAATCGAGTTCGAACTCTATCTCAATTAAAACTAAAAAAAAAAAACTCGATTATACGAACTTGATTTCCAATTTCAAGTATTGAGTTCAAGTTCAAACTTGATTTCTCAGGCTAGATTAAGCTCAAACTCAAACTCAAACTCGGTATTGTAGCGATTGAGTCAAGTTCGATTTACTAGATACTCGACTTGATTTCACCCCTAGGAGTGAGGGGTTGGGTTTTTTTTTGTGGAAAACGACTTAATTTCAGCCAAATCTTGGACAATTAGGCTAGAATAAGGCTAAAAGGATGAAGAAGTGAAGATTTCCGTTAGTTTTGGCGAGAAAACAAGTCGAAATTAGTTTGAATCGGCCGACGGTGACGATGGTGACATTGTAGCAGTTTGAATTGATTTAGGGTTTTTATACAGGGGCCAACAGTGGCAATAGCATTTGAAAGGATTTAGGATTTTTATATAAGGGATAAAATGACATAAATACCCTTAAACTGCTTTTTGAACTTACTATTATGTTTTTCTAAAGTTAAACTTAATGGATGGTTCTTAACATGAGTGGTAAAATTGTATTTTGAAACTTTTTGGGTGAAAAAGTGTCATTAGGCAAAACCTTGGGTGGAAAAAAATCGTTTACTCCAATAATATATTCACAGCCCATGTCAGCTTCATAATTGCTCCAAGTCTTTCTCTACAGTGTGTGAAAATTATGCTTAAAAATGCATTGATTAATTCCACGTAACCTTTGTGCTATTGAGCCAAACTATACTGTCACGTTCATGAAATTACTGTTTGATTACGACCTTACAGTGAAGATATTTCCAACCACCATTCATGATTCATCTATATAATTGAGTTTAGTTACTGGGGTCATATGAATTACAGTAGGTGTAACCTGTTAATTAAAGCTTCTTTGTCGTCTTCGCTAAAGCTAAGTGGCTCCTTAGTTGAGATGAGGTGTTCTTGGAGCTCATGCACATCACAAAACCAAAGTCTATTTAGATTATATATTCTGAATCTGTGAGACTTCAGTTTGTTTAATTATGATCAGTGAAACCGCGTATATATATATATATCTTCTACTGAAAGCAAATTAATGAAGCATTAATTAGGTGCTGCTGGGCAGGTTCTTTGGCTTAGGTTACCTAAATCTTTACACCATTTGCCCTTAGAATTAATAAAAGTTGAGGAGAAGTGATTGCCATTAATTTATCATATAGAATTAATTCGTAAAAGCAGGCTTGATTGGTGGGAGAATAAAGTACTCATCTCTTTCAGAAGTGGTGGTTCCACAGTTCCACTTCCATATACTGTATATATATTTTATTTTTCTGGTCCCACCATGGCAGAAGATAGTCAGATACAACAATATTATCTCGATTCAGGAGGCAGCCATCATATAAAAATATATATATCATAGTATTCTCCATCCCTCTTGCGTAGCTTTCTCCTGTATAATAACTTTAAAAGAGTGCTCATTAATTGACCCTGTACTATTCCTAATCGGCTTGCAGGAATATGGAGGCTCCATCCTTAGAACCCTTCAAATTAGTTACGAAAACTCAAGTCCTTGTTCCAAAATTAAAGATGTTCTTCAGTTACTGCTTTAATAAAAGCAGTTGGTGAGATCGGAATCGCCCTAGCTAAGTTCTGATATGGGATTATTGACCTATTGTACAAAGAAGAGGGGGTCCTTTTCTTTCAATATTTGGGTAGCTTGCATTGACCATTGAACCGCTGCTTGTAGTTGCAGATATATCTGTGCATGGTGGGGTTACATTTGAATAACTTGGATGAGCCGCGTTTCACACTTCAGTTTCAGGTTTGTATTCTAGAAAGTTAATTAACGTGTCAAATGATTGACTCAGGTTTGTATCACTCTGCCCTTAGTTTATGCACTTAGATTTGACCTCCTCAACTACTTTGTATGTATTCATACTTCTATATCTATATTTAATTCTTCACCTCATGGATCCAGATAATTCCCACCTCCCCAATGTGTATGAAAAGAAGAATTTTTTTTCTAAGATATTTGTTGATCAAATCTGTAGTAAGATTCCTGATCTTGCAGGATGATTGGTTGTGTATAAACTATTCTGATATATAAAACAAGTTAACCCATGTTGTTCTTCTGAATCAACATAGCATACTCGTTTTCATGGAAAATTCAAGTTTCCATCGTCACCGAGTCTTGACATGTCAATTTGGTAAAAAGTAGAACAGTCTTTAGGGTTGATGATTGACAAAACCTAATGGCACCCAATCAACCATATTCTATGCAAAAAGAAAAGGACGCGGTAAGACTTTTAAGGAGATGTGAACACTTAACCTCAATTTCAAACATATAAATCATATATTTTTAAGTAATTTATTGTCTGTTTTGAGGAGGGGCGCGGGCTTATGAATGGTGAAATTTCATTATAAACCATAACATCATAAAAGTACATGTAAACCCCTTCGTACGAGAAAGAATCAACAACCTCCTCTCAACTGAACTTCAGAAAATCGTGACAATTTCCCTCCTCGTTTCTCAACTATGAACAACCGCCAAACCACACTAAACTTTATAAATTATGAATGATGCATAACATGATCACATTGTTCCACCAAATTTCTATAAACAGTTGGAAATGAATCAACCACGTGTAAGAAATATATATTCAATGTTTTGGATGTTGACAAACAGACTCCATGGATGTAATTCATATGTTGGGAATCTGAGATTTTGGAGTTAGTGTAAGGGATTAGCTAGATCATTTCACATGACTAAAATTTGCTATTGGATTTAGTAGTTTTATACAACTTGTTTTCAACTGGATTTGTAAAATGTAGCTACAATTCGACTGTTGTAAACGTTGGGGCTGCTTTCTCCTTCAATTCTACCATTGGCAAAGTTGTAAAAGTTGCAGCAGATGCTGCTGTGGAAGGTGTGAATTCAACCCAAGTATCCTCGGTGGAACTAAGCTGAAGCTAACGATGAAAGACCTTGTCTAATTTGCGGTGAAACCATTTTGAACATCAATCTTCTATTATCAAAGATTCATCCATGCGTGTGATGTTTTAGATGCCTAAAATCTGTTATTCATTATCCAATCCACTACCCTATCATTAAGCAAAATTGGGCTTAAAACAAAGCCCAATCATATTATCCCTTCAAATTTACACCAGTGCTGAAACTATATCATGGTTATTCGCCAGAGCAGGGTTAACAAATGAGAGGTCACCTTCATTGCTGTTATCTTCCCCATGATGGGGTTCATTTACTTAATACTCCATCGTTATTTTATCCACATTTATAACAAAGCTGCCTGTTGGTGATTTCGGTGATGATGGTTAGCATCTTATCAGAGCCTCATTGTCGTCATAGGTGTATGAGCGTGTAGATTGACCTGTTGTTTTGAAACGTTGTAGTCTGTGTTCCTGAGAGTGCACTGTTGAAGGGCTTAGGCTTACACTTTCCCTGGCGTTCGAGTTGGGGACTTTCCTCGCTTCCGCTTCTTCACTGCCGTGTGCCACTTCTTGAG